CACACACACACTGGGGCAAGGAGGAGGCTGGAGACAGGCCGAGAGCTACACACATCTTATCTCTTTGGCCTGACCTCAGAGAGTTAGCCAAAGAAAATACTCTCTAATTTTGCCTCAAACAATGTGGATCTTGAAGGGAATGACTTGAAACCGAGCGCCAAAGGGGAGGGCAGTGGCAGTACAACAACCATGGCAGTTTTGAGTGTTCAGTGAAAACCGTAAAAGTACCTTTTGAAGGCGGCAACAGCCCAGGCTATAGGTAATATGTATGTAGACGTGCACAGGTTTCAGCTACAGAGACAGAATGACTTTGCAAGTTCTGCAAAAATCCTCATGCCCCAAAACCTGGTAGTCAGAGGAACACAGCCCTGGTCCTACAGGAGCCCTGGAGCCAGGCAGCCTCTGGGTGCAAAGAAGTCTCTCTTCTTTCCCAGACTTTATCTTCCTTGTCACTCAGGTGATCCGCTGCCAACCATAGCCCCATATGTGCAACTCCTGACCCCCATGAGGCACAAGACAACGAAATAAAAGAAACAGTTCATCGTATGTTATAACTCCCTTTCTTTAAATGAACATCGAATGATGAAATAGAAAGTCTGTATAATCACACAGACAAAGAAACAAAGGAGGGATGTATTAAGTTGGAAAGTGCAGTGAAAATAAAACTGAATGCAGCTTCAATGATCTCTCTTTGGGAGAACAAAGAAATAATAGATTCATCCAACTGCGCAGCCACTTAAAAATCATCTAAGAGAAAATTTTCAAAAAAGACTAAGTAAAATTAGTTTCTTGTAACAAACCAATAAAATAAACAGCGAGTGCATTGAAGTGTAGTGACTCAGTTTACCTAGTGGAACCAGGGCATGTTATGCCACCTTCGGGCCACACTTTATTATTTCTTGCTGGGGGGAAAAAAAAGTTAAGTCCTGCAGTCCCTTGCCACCCTTCCCCCCTTTCCCTTCTGACAACTAGTGACTTGTAAAAGCCCACAAAACCACAGCTGGGGGACCGGATTTCAAGCTTCGGAGAGGCTGGAAGAGGGGTGAGGTGGAGAGGCATGAGGGGTGGAGAAGCAGGAGGCTCTCCTCGAGCCCTAGTGGGTTCATTTCTAATCGTGGAAACTCCGAGATGGCACGAAGGTTGGGAGCCAGAGCCCTGAGGAGAAGCGGTGGGGGCAGGGGTGATGATGCGGCTCGGAGCTCAGCTGCACCACCGAGGTGCTGCGCGAAGGGGGTTGAGGCGCCACCCTGAGCAATCCTGGTGCTGCCCGGAGGCGGTGGCACGGAGTGGAGTTCCAGGCTTGTGCGTCGCCATGTGCTGCGTGAGCGTGGGGATTGAGGGTCCGCGGTTCTCTGGGGCAAGAGGCTGCAGGGGAGCAGGGAAGGTGGCGGGGAAGGGGTATCGCCGCGCCGGGACGCGGGGCCAGTGGCCAGTCAAAGCCTTCTGTGGAGAAGAAATCAACAGGCGGGCGCCCCCCACTCCGACCTCACGGTTGTTGGCCGGGAGCTGGCAGCTCAGCCAGGCGCCGGAGAGCGGCCTTGTTGGCGCGAAGGTCCGCAAATGAGGCCGGCTTTTCCAGGGCCAGGGGAGTACCAGGCTGAGGGGGCGCCTAGAGTACAAAGTCTGCAGCAAAGGTCTTGATGAGTTCTGATCCCACCTTCTTCTTTCCCTTTCTTGTTTTTGCCCCCTCCCTCCCTCTCTCGCTTCTTCTTTTTCTCTTTGTCTCTCTCTCCTCTTTTCTCCCCTGGAAAATAGTACTGCAGGCAATTGGAGCTCCAGGTCTGGGAATACACCCCCTTCCTAAGCGAAACCGCAATTGGTCCGTGGGGTTTGGGGCTCTGAGGCCTGCCTGCTGCCCAGGCTCTGGCCTCTCCAGGAATATCTGGCCCTTTGGTCTTTTCCCCCCGTCGGTTCCTTGCTCTAGTAAAGCCCGCTCAGAGCGCCCGACCTCCTGCCCGCGCCCCCCGCCTACGTCCCATCCCGCGGCCCACCCTGGACCTGCGACTCTGCGCCACTGTGGCGACACCCCTCTGCGTCCCCCCTGACCCCCTGGCGAGAGGCGGCGGGAAACGCTGCCCGAGATAACGGCTCAGCTCCCGAGGCCGTGACCGCGCTGTTTGCTCTCCCTGCAGGCTCTTTTCCACCATGGCCCCCCTGACCAGCGCGTCGACCGCGGCTGCGCTCCTGAGACAGCCCACGCCGGCCGTGGAGGGCGCGGTGGCGTCGGGCGCGCTGGCCGACCCGGCCACGGCAGCCGCAGACAGACGCGCCTCTAGCATAGCCGCGCTGAGGCTCAAGGCCAAGGAGCACGCCGCGCAGCTCACGCAGCTCAACATCCTGCCGGGCACCAGCACGGGCAAGGAGGTGTGCTAAAGGCTGCCCGGCACCCTTGCGCCGTGGGCGCGCCCCGAAAGGTCACCTCACTCAGCACCACTCAAGACCAAATGGAAACCGAGGACCAGCACACTCCCGAGACGGCACTGAGAGAGCGCAGCCGCTTTCGCAGCAGCCTGGACGCGGACAAGGCAGCCCTGGGCGCTCCCGGACGTGGCACCTCCTCGGCTGGCTGTCCACCCACCCCTGTCCCTGTTCCCGCTCCTGCCCCAGCCCCTGCCACTGCCAACCTCGCTCCAACTCGTATGTCCACTCTCTCCCGTTCTTACTTTATTGAAAATCGGGGAGGTTTGCTCCCCAAGACGCCTGGTATCGAACTTAAAAAATTTTAAAGCCCAACCTCTCTTCCTCCCGACATCTCACTTAGCTTTTTTTTTTTTTTTTTTTTTTTTTAAATAGTATGGCGCTCTAAGTTGATTTCCCCAGCGTGGGCTCCGGCGTGAAGCCAGGGCCGGAGAAGTGAATGCGAATCTGTAAGATAGCTAACAGTGCACTTAACGGAAAGGGGCGTCTTGTTCTTGTTCTCTTCTTTATCATACACCAACCAAGGTTTTTATATCAAACCAAAGGGAAATACTCTGCTAGAATATGGACTGTTGAAGTCACCAAACTGTGATTAATGATTCTGTACATACCATTGTTATTAAAAAAAAAAAAAAAGAACAGAGCTTTGTATATTTGAAATGTTATAACGCAATTGCACTCAGCGTGGTATGGTAAAGTTTGTCCTCCTGTAGATTCTTACTGTGTTGTAGATACGGTAGGGTTCCTAGACAAATATTTATGTACTCAAGCCCTTTATTTAACTTATTAACTGTAGAGGCTTCCGAAACCTTCAAGATAAAGGCAATGGTACAGTACTTTTTGTGTAATGTGTAATTGTTATCACTTTTCCTTGCTACCTAGTGGAGAAGTGTCACGCTCAAAATAAAAAAAAAAAATTCTATGTTTAACAAAAGGAAGTGTGAATGCTCTATGCAGGCGCTGAGGGGACAGTAGAAGGGGGCCCCCCAGAGGCCGGGGGTGGGCTCGGGCGGCCCAGCACCTCCCAGGTTTATCGGCACGGGTGTTTTCCTGGCAGAGGCCCCTGGTTTGAAACCGATCCTCACAGGGATTCGGATTTCCCACAAAAGCTAATAAGGACGCTGCCGAGGTGCTTTCCACGCGCTCCTCGGCTCCCCCTGGTCGTGTCGCAGTGGGAGTTGATGGAGGTCTGGGCCACGGATGTGGGGTGGGCTGGAGGGTGGGTGGGTGCATAGTAGGCGTTGTTGACGGTGCAGACAAATTCGAAGCGAGAGTCTTGGCTCGGAAGGCGAAGGAAGATGTTCGTGGAAAGTGCCACGTAGCAAGGAAGTGCGCAGTCCGAGATGACAGGTAATGGCGAGAAACCGAGGCACTGGCTTCCGAGGGGGCGGGCTCCACGGTACACTCGAGGGGAGGAGGGAGTGTGTGTGTGTGTGTGTGTGTGTGTGTGTGTGTGTGTGTCAGTTCACAAGACATCACCAGATAGCACATTACTCAATTTAGGCAACTATGCAGGTTGGAGGTCACCACCACAGGCTCCTGAAGAAAACCTGTATTATGATTCCTAGAAGAGGCAGACTGTGAATATCTCCCACACAAGAGATATTATTGGCTGAATTACAAAAGAACCTGTGACATAAGACCTATGCTACATTTGCCCTAAGCACTTCATCCCTTTAATCCCCTAATCCCCTGGAGGAGCCAGGAAGTATGCAGCAGGAGTGGAAGGGTGGGAGGTGGGGGCAAGGACG